CAATGCCAACGTATAATTACACAACAATTACACAGGTTGAAGCAGATCAAAAATTATGCATTTGATCACTTTACCCTTCTTGCTAAAACTGTGCTTGCATGTGTTCTAGTTACATCACAATAGCTTCTACCAACCCATTTGATATACCAACTGGGCAGCTCCTAGACATAAGTTGCTTCAAAAGGTTGAACTAGTTGATGATGTAGAAAGAACTAAGTGTTTGGTCCTCAGCTACCTGGGAGGAACAGTGCCCTTGACCTTTCTGGAGTGAGTTAGTGACGGAGGTGAACTAAGGAAGCTGGACAGAGAGAGGTTAAATCACCTGCTCAAGGTCAGTAAGGAAGGGCCCAAGGCCGAGTGCCCTTCGGACACTTTGCTGCCTGTATCCCTTCAGCTGTAGTCCCTGTTTTGGGGGTGGACACAACATGGGAAGACTAATGTCGATTCCTGTCCCAAAACAGCGTGGACCTAGTGAGAGAAAGCGAGAGGAAAGATCCAGCCACCCATTTCCCACCACAGGGTTTTAGGACCTTCTCTCTTTCTGTAAAAATAGATATTTTAGAAAACTGAGGTTGCCCTAAATGATGTGTGTGTGTGTGTGTGTGTGTACTCTACGATGCATACTTCATTAAACGCACAAGCATTTTCTTATGCTGTTACTGGTAAATATTAATGTAAATCATGATGCTTACCCATTTTCCTATTTTGTAGTATGCCAAAATTAATCTCACCATTTCCCTGCCTTTGGACATTTATGGAGTTACTTACAAGCTGTGCATCAGAAGTTATTTATCCTATCAGAGCATCAGTTCCTCCTCTGAAAATTGGGGGAAGTACGAGCAGTTTCCTCACAGGGTTGTTGTGAATTAGGTGAGGTGAGTTAGGAAGATCATTTAGTACAGTGTCTGCCTGGTTCAAGGTGAACATTTAATCAAAATTACTAGATATATTCAATCTTCACCATTGTAAATACTTTTGCAAAACAATAAATTATCCATTGACTCAAGATTGCTGTAATTGCTGAATTTTTAAGAGGAATGTGGTCTTATGGATGCTGTAGTTAATAGCATTTCAGAAATGGTGAGAAAGGGGGCTTTAGGAGGAGAGGGAGAGAAGAAGAGAAGGAGGAGGAGGAGGAAGAGGAGGAGGAGGAAGAAAGGGATGGAAGAGAGCTGACGGAGAGAAGAAAAAGTGAAAAGGAAGGGTAATAAGAAAGAGGGCAAGAAAAAGGAAGGGCGCCAGGAGGCATGCAGAGACCTGGGCATCCTTGCCAGTGAGGAAAGCAAAGTAACTCCTGTTTTTCACCCTTGTCCTGCCATGTTGCTTGGGGGCCACCCTGCACAGGGATTAAGACCTTTGCTCCAAGTTATCAGCCAGGGACAAGCCAGTTCCTGCTTGGCATTCTGGCGTCATCCTATGACTTTTTAGTGGCTGCATTGAAAAGACCAGGCTCTGTGATTTCCATTAAGTTCACCAAGGAAGACTTCTGTAGATCATTCATAAAGATATTGCTTATAACGGAGCCCACCATAATGTGGTGTCTTCTCAGCCATCAAGCCTCCTGGAATAGACCAGGGCATGGGAAGAGGAGCCACCTGGAGCCATTATGTAAGCCGATTTTAATTAATTTTATGAACAGGCATGCATAAGACGGCACTAAATGCTTCATTAGAAATAAAGTTACATGCCATTGCTTTTTTTGTCATTCATCTAGCTAATGTGTTTCTAAAATCAAATGTTTTTTAATGGAATAAATTCAATCTGAGGCTTGACTAAGACTCATTATCTTGCTATTCTGACATTCTCAGACTTTTCTCCACTTTCAGTATTGGTTCTGCTAATTTGTTAGGGATGTATGTGAGGTCTCCTAAGCTGATCCTTTGGGTCGAAATCAGTGGTTCTCAACCTTCTGGCCCTTTAACTACAGTTCCTCATGTTGTGACCCAACCATAAAATTATTTTCGTTGCTACTTCATAACTGTAATGTTGCTACTGTTATGAATTGTAATGTAAATATCTGATATGCAGGATGGTCTTAGGCTAGTGGTTGGCAAACTCACTAGTCAACAGAGCCAAATATCAACAGTACAACAATTGAAATTTCTTTTGAGAGCCACATTTTTTAAACTTAAACTATCTAGGTAGGTACATTGTTATTAACTTAATTAGGGTACTCCTAAGGCTTAGGAAGAGCCACACTCAAGGGGCCAAAGAGCCGCATGTGGCTCGCGAGCCGCAGTTTGCCGACCATGGTTTAGGCGCCCCCTGTGAAAGGGTCGTTCGACCGCCAAAGGGGTCGCGACCCACAGGTTGAGAACCGCTGGAAATGATTCTTTGGGTCTAAATGTCAGATTTCAGGTACCAGAAGCAATTACTGGTTCTCCATCCAAAGGACTACAGTAGCAACACCCCAGTAAAAGACAAAGACAGGAAAGTGGTCTCCCTCGTGTTTGTGCTTCTGCTTGTCTTGACTCTCACTCACTTCTGAAACTTGTGGTGCTTGAATTAGCACCAACTGCAGCTAAGTCCAGCCATCCTGATGTTGGCACCCTGTCTCCACTTGTCTGTGATTGACGGAGAATCTCTCTCACATATTTGGACTGATCTGTAAATAAGGGACCTGGGTCCCTTTGAGTTGGTTTGCTTTTGGGCAAGAATGATCATGTCACTTTAAGCAAAAAAACTACCGGAGCCCCTGGGATCCAGAGAGCCAAGATGTCGATGCCGCCTCATGTTCAAAGCACCAGCCTCTTACAGCCGTGCTGCATTCTGGGACTGCTGTTGGGATGCTAACTCTGAGGAAAGGCCAGAAAGAGGGACAAGGACAGACCCTGACAGGGTGGGGACATACCTCCACAGGGATCCATCTGTGATGACAGTTACACAGGTGGCCATCTGGTCTGGGGAAACCAGTCAACAAATGGGTAATTGACACTAACATTACATTACAACCCGTGCAGTATACTGCTCCACACGGTTCCAGACTCTACGGCTCCCGCGGAGTTTTCTGGCAGAAATAAGTGCCTTTTGGGCTGAATAAAAAATTGCATCCCTTGTAAGTAATAGTTGGTTAAGATGGTTAATTATTTGATAGAGCAACATCATTGGGATTCTCTTCCACACACATTCGTGTGCAAATATTGTCTGCCAGGCATTCCCGAGAGGACAAGGCCTGACCAGAGAGTGGAAACTCTAGAAGGCTGAGCCAGTTGCAACCAAGGCTCGCCCAAACCCAGAGCTCTTGCTTTTCCCCCTGCACTGCGCCGTGTTGTTAACTGGGAGAATTAATGCTGGACCTCAAGTCCCCTACAGTATAATCCAGGAGATGTTCAAGTATTAATAGATTCTGACTCATGCAGCTTGAAAAGTATCCCACTGAATTGTCTTATTCTAAAGGAGTAAAAGCAGCACTTTTTATTATGTATCAATGAGAGAAGCCCTGAGTCATTTCAGCCTATCCACATCTCATTTCTCACTCTCCCACTCCAGAACTTCAGAAAGGAGACCGTGAATCAGAGAAAATGGCCAGGAAGGACAAGATCCTCTCCAGAAAGATAAATGGCAATGCTCTAATTCTCTTAAAGAATTCTGATCATCATTGTTCATTTCTCCCGCAATGCCATCTCTGCAGCAGACCTATTGTTTAAGCTCAACATACAAAGTTCTATGGAAAGTTTGTGCATGAAGAGATAAAGAAGATGTGGATGATTAGATAATGGAGGTCATAAAATAAATACATGATGAAATATTACTCAGCCTTAAAAAAGAAGGGAATCCTGTTACCGTGTCAACATGGATGAACCTGGAAGGCATTGTACTAAGTGAAATAAGCCAGGTAGAAAAAAACAAAAAACAAAAAAACAAATACTGGATATGTGAATCTAAAAAAAAAGGTCGCACTCAAAGAAACAGAGTGGGAAGGTGGTTGCTGGGCACGAAGGTGGGGAAGGGAGGAGATGTTGGTCAAAGGTACAAACTTTTAGTTATAAGATAAAAATAAGTTCTGGGGATTAAATGTACGGCAGGGTGATTATACTCAATCATAGTGCAGTGTATACTGGTAATTTGCTAAGAGAGTAGATGAGTAGATCTTAGCGTTCTCTTAAAAAAAGGAAGAGGAAAAGACAACCATGGGAAGTAATGGATATTAATTAGCTTGATTGCGATAGTCATGTCACAATGTTATGCGTATATCAAATCATCACATTGTGCCCTTCGAATATGTGCAGTTTTATTTGTCAGTTATACCTGAATACAGAATGAAAACTAAAATGAAGAAAGTTCAAAACAAACTCTGGGGAGTTCTGCTGTTGCATACCCACGAGGCCCACCCTGGGGTGGCCCTTTAATGATTTCCTTTTGGCCGTAGGATAAGGTCCAGCCCCTTAATGGCCCAGGAGGCCTTGCAGCCCCTCGCTGCTCCCGGCTGCAGTGCGCTGCCAACACCCGTTCCTCCCCAGGTCCCAGCTCCTGATCGCTGCACCTGTCAGTGCTGTCCTCCAGGCTCTCGTGCCCCCTCAGGATCTGGCTAATGTCTACTCACTTTTCAGGAAACAGCTCAGACATTCTGCTCTGCAGAGCCTTCTCCAGCGCCCGGGATTGAATGAGCTGTTCCTTCTTTATTCCCCACAAGCATCCTGGATTTGCTTCATCACAGAGCTTATTGTTCCATCTTGAAATTGCCTATGTGCTCGTCCCTCCCGCGGCTCCGTAGCCTCCCTGAAGGCGAGCGTTCCGCTCGTCTTGTTCCTTGCTGTATCCCCACGAGGACATTGGTAATTCAAAGTTGTTGCACAAACAATTGAAAGTGAGGTATAAATCGAACATCCTGAAACTACTAGGTTCATTTGGGAGAAGCAATGGGTACGCAGTGCTCATGAAACAAATCAGGGCGTCACCTTTCAACATGCATGCGATCGACCGCAAAGGGTAGATGGAGTGTTTGCCTCTCCCGTCATGCGCATCGAAGGCCTGGCATTACGAGGGAGACCCCGAGTTACCTGATGGTTTTGATCATGCTGAGGCCCATTTCCACGCAGCAGTGGGCGTGGTCCTGGCGGGGCTCCGGCAGTCCGGAGACGCAGTAGTAGCAGTCCCCCAGGATCTTGATGCGAAGACAGTGATGCTCCTGGAAGGAACAGATGGAGAGGCAAGGACTGAGTCCGCAGATGGGCCAGGGCTCCAGAGCGGCTTGGAAGGAGGGAAGCCAGGTCAGGTGGTCTGCACCGGGGGTCAGGGACTCACCTTCGCATTGTACCTGCGCTATCTTCCTAGGGCAGTGGTTCTCAACCTTCTGGCCCTTTAAATACAGTTCCTCATGTTGTGACCCAACCATAAAATTATTTTCGTTGCTACTTCATAACTGTAATGTTGCTACTGTTATGAATCGTAATGTAAATATCTGATATGCAGGATGGTCTTAGGCGACCCCTGTGAAAGGGTCGTTCGACCTCCAAAGGGGTCGCGACCCACAGGTTGAGAACCGCTGTCCTAGGGACTGAGGCATTACCCTAAGTAGGGGTTTGAAGGGCTCAGAGGTAGAGTGGAGACATGGAAAGACCCTGGATATTGACCTTGACAGATTCAGCACCGTCTCTCAGCGCTGCCGGGCACTAGCTTTCTGATCTGAACACCCATCACGGGGACAGGCCTGGCGAAGAGCGGGCATTCAACCTGCGTGTTCCCCTGGGAATCCTACCCCCAGCACTGTCTTTCTTCTCTGGCCGAGCCTCTGAATTAACGGGCTTTAGCAGTCTTTAGCTCAACAACAAGCACTTAAAATCATCAATCATTTACTAGGAGAGATTTCTACTATTTCAACTCTATGTTAAGTCTCTTCCCATGTAGGTTACTGGCACCTTAAGAACGGGCTAACTGTGTCTTAGAAGCGGGACACAGTTGTTTGGTGGCTTCACAATCTTGAACACATGATTTTTACAAAGTTTCAAAACATAACACGCCCCAAAGAAAAGGTGAAAACTTCGTACTGGGCAGGAACTGTCTGAATGTTGCAGCAAAGGTGCTGAGAGCATTGGCTGAGGAGTCACACTGCTCGGGGTCAGATCCCAGACACCCTACGTCTTTCCTGTGTCTTTAGTTAAATTGCTTAACCTCTGAGCCTCAGTTGCCTAACCTGTAAAGTGGGAACAAGAATAGGACCCGTCTCATCATGCCTGTGAGGATTTACATGGAAAGACTGAGTGCAGGGCCCAGTGGAGGGGGCACTGAATTAATGTGGCCTGCCTCTGTGATGAGGACTTGGACCCCTGGGCCAGTCCTTCACCTCTCCGATCTGTGACCCAGGGCAGATGACTCTCCCTTTTGGTTTCCTTGGGTAGATGGGTGAGACTGAATGACCCTGAGATGCCTTCTAGACCTGAAGCCCCAGGAGCACGGGTCTATGCGTTGTGGGTAAGAGGCCCTCCTTATGGGTGGGGCCCAAGGGCAGGGGGAGGGGAGTTGCAGAAAATGGGAAACTGAGGTGCCAGCAGCACCATGGAGGCCCTTGTATAGCCAGGCTGTAAAGCACTGCGCTGGCCTCCTAATCTCATCAGGAGTCAGGCCGTTACGTTTCGGTTACAAATGAATGCACTTAAACGCATGGGTGAAAGGGTGTGTAGGGTGTACTGAGCCCCGCTCCCAGTGAAAAGCAAGCGTCAGACAAGGAAAAGAGACTCGGCCCTTCCTCTGAGACCCCTACAGCTTCCGGGCCAAGATGGAGCCCTTCGCCCATTAGACCTGGCAGTTTCCAGATTAATGGAGTCGATGGGACAGTTACTAAAAAACCAGAGGGCCAGAGGGACGGCTAGAGGGCTCAATTTTGTATTTGCCAAGGAAGTATGAAAAACCTATCAACAAACCAAAATAACAACCCAACCACCATCGACTACACCAGTGCTTTATTTAAAAAAAAAGATATTCCTAGAATAAAGGAAAGTTATTTGCACTAAATTAAATTAACATTATAAAAGCTCACTATATTGCTGTATTTGTGTGTGTGTGTGTGTGTGTGTGTGTGTGTGTGTGTGTGTGTGTATCTGATTCCTGAACAATGTGAAACTTAGGGGCACTGACCACCCACACAGTCAAAAATCCACATAAACTTTTGACTCCCCAAAACCTAACTGCCTACAGCCATCCCTTGGTAACTGCAGGGCATTGGTTCCGGCACCCCTGGAGAGACCAAAATGCTCAAGTCAGCCTTCCACATGCACACTCTTTCATGCATATAATACGTGGAAGCCTGTCTTCTTATCTGTCAATTTACAGACATATTTTTCTGATCAATTCCTATGAGCTGTCAGGTGACTTGACAGTAATAGGCAAGCAACTTCCTCTTATCCGAAATTGCTTTGTAAAGTTTAGATTAAGGAAGCCAGGTTGCTCTGAAAAGAGATATTGAAGAGGAAAAATAAAGTAGGGCGAGGGTCTTCTTGCAGATTTTCTTGAGTTAGCCTTAATATAATCCTTTTCCTCCCATCTCGATGGCTTTGATATGACAAAAATCTCGGGAAATCCAGAGGATGTATGAAACCATTTGTGTAGATAAAACTTAGGAGATCTATACACCCAATTATCAAAGACGGTTCTATGGTTGGGCAGGGCTAGGACGACAGGGATGTGTACTTCCTGTGTTGTCTATATCTTTGGCGTTTAAATTTTATATAAGGAACAGCATTGCTTTTGTAATCAGAGAAAAAAATCAATAAAAAATAAAAAGAGAGAAGATTCTTGGAACAAAAACATTGGTGCAGTTAATGCACTTAAAATAGTTGTGTTAGAGAACATGACGTTATCTCGTTGTGATTACAGAAATAACAGATGACTATATTGTCCAAGTAACAATGAGACTGAGGTAAGTCCCTCGCACAGCCCCTGGCCTCAGGCCCACCACCACTGGGGACCTGGTCTCCTTCCCCTCCTCCGAGGCTGCTGTGTTTTCACAGATACATTCCCATGATCATGTGTGACTAGTTTTCATGCTCTTAGCCATAGATTTATCAATCCATGTCTATAGATCTGAGACACGCTTTTTTTCATGCAGCAAATATCTTGAAATTCTTTCGATGTTAGTACAGAAGCAGCTCTCTCCTTGATTTTAATCTGTGGATTAGCTTTCCATTGGGTTCGATTTGTTCTTTATAATAGCAGTTTAGGTTCTTCCAGTTTTGTCAGTCATTTTACGAAAGGTTTAAGCTGTATTGAGGTCAATCATGTTAACAAATAAGTATGTTTTTTGCTTTACAATTTTAAAGACTTCCTAATGATATACATATTCTTCATTCCTAATTTGGATGGGGAGGGGCAGGTAGGAACTACTTTATTTTACAAAAAGATCAAAGACCAAAAGTGACAGAGACCAAACCCCCTAAAATGGGAGTTTGCCAAAGGGTCAAGGGTCACAGTGCTCTGTTCTGAGCAGCCCTAACCACGGGGAACCCGAGGAACTCGATCACGCTAAGAGGGTCTCTAACAGGAGGCTGTGAGGTTTCCCCTGCATTTTAATAACGCAGTGCGGAAGCAGGTACAGTGTGTGCCATTTGCATGGGAGGTGGGTTCTCTCTGATGTGCAACATAAGGGAAATCTAAAGCAAAGACTCGTGGCCAGGAGAGAAAGGTCATTACAAAGGCAGAGGATTTTGGTGCTAAAGGATGCTCAAGGGGCAAGTTGTGGGGTAAATGCATTTACGGTGGGGTTTCTCCTTCCTGAGTGGACTTGTTTTCCCTGGCAGAGACTATTAAACTTTCCTACCGAGGTCTCCTAGGGCAGCAGGTACTGATGCACCCGGGGCGGGGGGACTTGGAGTTGCCGAGTGCTAATGGGCACAGAGTCCTTATTTGGAGCAGCCTGTGTGTGAAGGAGCATCTCACAGTGTTGTGTCATTTGTCCTTCATCACACCTTTGATAGGAAACTGAGATGCAGAGAGGGGATTTGCACAAGGAATATTCAAGTCCAGCCTCACTCGAACCCTTCAAGCCATCCTGCAGAGGCAGCAACCCATCTCTGAGGTCTCCCGTTCCACCCCCTAAAATGCCTGATTCTTTAGTAAAGTAAGGTAGTTCCTATCTGCCCCTCCCCATCCAAATTAGTCATGAAGAATATGTGTATTACCATGGAGGCACCTGGCCTTGGTCTGGATCCCAGATGCACCACCTACCGGTGCTTCTGGGCAGATTATTTGACTTCTTTGAGCCTCAGTCACTTGTTCTGTAATATGGGAATAATAAAGACACTGCCTTGTAGGTTTGTTGTGAGAACTAAGTTAGGTAAGCCAGGGAAAACACTCATCACAATGCATTAAAAAGGGCATTTTATACATATTTAACAATCTTATCAAATTAATAGTAACTTCACTCCATCACCTGTTGTGAGAACTAAGTTAGGTAAGCCAGGGAAAACACGCATCACAATGCATTAAAGGGGCATTTTATGCATATTTAATAATCTTATCAAATTAATAGTAACTTTACTCCATCACGTATCTGTGCTTAATTTGATAGGTATTTTCCCTTTAAAACCTTCCAATAAGAGTAACACCCCAGAAGGTGGACTACAGAATCTTGTGCCCAGTGGGGATCACTGGCCATGTACCTTCCTTTGCTCCCCTTCCCCCACCGTGTGGACAGGAGCCAGGGCGAAAAGCCCAGGCACCGAGACAAACTCCACATTCCCTCAGATGTCACACCATGCCCTCAAGCTCGTCTCTCACTGCATCGCCCTTGCCCTTCACGCTCTAACAATCTTGAGCTCCTTCTAGCTCCCACGCCAGTAGCACAGTGTTGCATTTTCACACTCCCCTGCCTTTGCCCCATGGCTCAGCCTAGAAGGCACCTCCTCCTCTCATCTGATGCCAGCAAAGCTCTTCCTCTTTCTCCAGCCCCAGTGTGCAGAGGCCCTCTTCTCTGTGTGCTGCCGGATCGCCAACACCATCACCCCCAGACCCGCCCAGCATCTGGCTGGGCTTCCCTTCGTCCCCCACCCTGTGCCTGTCACTGCTCGCACTGCACTGTCCTGCAGTCATTACGGGCTGGTCCGTCTCCCTTACCAGACTCAGAGCTCCCTGAGGGCAGGGACTGGCGTTGCCTTCCCAGAGTCCTGCATGTTCCCTGGCACGTGGTACGTTGTCAATAAATGTTGGTTGAACAACTTGCATTAACTGTTACTCAACCCTTTCCCTGAGTCAGTGGCCTCTATTGTGACACTAAAAATTAACCTTGGTCCTCGCGGGAGGGTCATGTCTATCCATCTTAGCGTCTCTGAGCAGAAATATTCACAACCATAATATGAAGTAGAACAATTTATGTGTAACACACCAGCCCCCACTGATGCAACAATCAAAAGATGGTATATATTCTGCCCCACCTCCCAGTTCCCAGCCCTTCAGTAAACCCAGCTCTGGTATTAGGAGAGACCTCAGTGCCCACCTCCTCCGCTGCCCAGTTAGTGTCCTAGTTAACATTGTCCGGGAGCTGCAGGCTCCTCTGCGGGTTGTTGCGGGTCCCCGCCTGTCTGGGTAGTGCACCTCACCCCTTCCCTCTGGTGATGCTGAATCTCTTCTGGTTTCTGAGTAGCTAGCATCTTTATTTTTATTCTCCCGGCTGACATTCCCTATCTTCTTCACCTCGCTAATTGATATATAATTTAAATACAGTAACAGTCACCCTTTCCCTAAGTGTGAAGAGCCCTGCTCACATATAGAGCACCCACATCACCCCCAAATCACCGCACCCCATGCTGCCCTGCAGTCAGTCCACACCCTCCACGTGGCAACCACTCAGCTCGTCTCTGTCCCTGTAATTTTGACTTTTCTAGAATGGCTTATGTGAGGAATCATAAAATGTTTAGCCTTTTCCGTCTGGCTTCTTTTTTTTACTTTATTTTTTAATTGAATTTATTGGGGTGATATCATTAATAAAATGATATAGATTTCAGGGGTACGTCATCTGTATCTTGGGTTGGCTTCTTTCGCTTGGCATATTGCATTGGAGACTCAGTGATGTTCTGGCATGTATCAGAGGCTTGCTCCATTTCATTGCTGAATAGTGATCTCTTATGTTGTTCTCCAATTTTTAAGACTCAGCCTAAGTGCCACTTTCTCCTGGAAATCTCTGATCCAAGGGTTCTGTGTCGCCTTTGCAGTCCCGGGTCACCCGGATGTACCTTTGCACACATCACATTGTGCATTGCTTTCCTCTTTATGTAGCCCCAGCTAGACTTAGCTCTGGGAAGGGAAGGCGTGTGCTTTAGTCATTCCCATACTCCCAGCACGGAGCCCCACGCACCACCCCTAGAGGTGCTCAGATTCCAGTATGAATGGCTCTCTGTTGGGGCGAGGCAGCCAAAACAGGACATTTTCAGTGCCCGGAGAATGCACTCCCTCGATGTGGTTTCATGGAACTCCCACCAGCCTGTGAAACTGGCCACGGTGCACACCCTTCACCAAGAAGGACGAAGTAACTCACCCTCCGTCACTCAAGTGGCTTTAGGACCAGGAATCTGTGTTTCGATGGCAAATGGTCATCTCTTTTAACCTGTTTTCTATTTGAGCTCTGGTCAGCTAACTGAAAATAAAGGTGGTGTCTCTTTGGCTAACACAGCAAAGCTCTTAAGGTCAAACACAGTGGGGCCCAGTGGACCACTGTTTCTCGAAAAGAGGCGAATTCAGTCCCCATGGCCGGGTCTGCTGGGGAACTGCAGGCAGCCACCTCCGCACGAACCAGGGCAGCTGGGTGGCACCTGGCCACTCCGGGGGACATGATGCTGGGGTGGGAGCGGATCGAAAGGACTTGGTTTAATTGTCACTCAACCAGCGGTCTCTCCATTGTAAAGATTCATCTGTCAAACCTCCCATCTGAGACCTGTCAGTAACTAACACTGATCCCCAGAATGTGTGAGGATCAGGGGGCCACGCCCGGGGGCAGGATGCAGAACAGTAATGACATTGGCAGTGAAGGCTGAGTCCTCCCCTCATTCACATGCAGTCCTCACTCCCGCCAAAGACAAGCAGGGAATTAAATTCAACTCACGTGGGCCAGTCGATCGAATCGGGCAAAGAGCTCGTTGAGCATCCTGACCAGCTCCTGAGCGGACAAGGTCGTGGAGAGGTTGGTAAATCCTTTAACATCTGCAAAAAGAATACTAGACAACAGGGAAGGGGTGGGGTGGGGTGGGGAGAAAGCGCATTAAGATTTTAAATCATCCGGGACACACACCAACATCAGCAGAGAAGTCAGCCGTGGTCTGGGATGTTCGCTCTCCCTGCCGTAGTTAGCAGACATCCCAGCTGAGACAGTGCACCCAGGGGTTCAGGAAGGACGAGGGGGCACCTGCATCTGTGCAGTGCACCTGCTCCCCGCCATAGCTTTCTTTCCCATTGCTACTTGTTAAAATCCTGCTTGTCCTTCAAGATTCCATCATATGTTAAGACTCATGACATGTCTTCTGAGTTGAATCAACGGACATGATCAGCGTCAGGACCTCCTTCCTCAGAGTGAGGTCCTGGCCACCACCGGCCTCTCGTAGGCTCTGGTTAGACATGCAGACTCTCGGGCCCCACCCAGACCCGCTGGGTCACACTGGGACATAACCAGAGCCTCAGGTGATTCTTGTGCGCACGGTCAAGTCCGAGAAGCGCTGGCTTGAGGCACACGCGTGCACTAAGAGTGAGTTGAAGGAAAGACCAGAAGCAGAAGCCGGGCCCTGGCTCTCACTGCCTTGCTCATCCTGCTGCCCCCACGTGCTGGGCTCAAGGCAGGCCTTTTGTTTCTAAGTATAAATTTGTAACCTTCCAAGATACTCATCTCAGAATATACTGACGGGACTGTATTAATTTCCAACTCTAATTTGGTTATATAAGTTGTTTATTTGGCTAAAAATAAGTGATGTTACCTAACAGTCGCTCTGCAAATAGAGTCTTCAAGGAGGCTTTAGCAGAAGCCACTAGAATCATTAGGAACACTGTGTAGATTCGTCTTCCTAGCTGTGTGTTCCAGGGAAACGCATCTAATCCCTCGGAGCTTCCACTTTCTCGACAATAGTGCAATGATTAAAGCTACTCTGCAGGGCTACTGTCAGAACATAACCGCTAAATCACGGTCCTCAGTAAGTAGAGGACACATAACAGCTGTGGGAAGTTTTGGGGACCAGCGAGGGTTTAATAGGTTGCCACACAGACAGGCCTCGAGAGGCAACCAGTTTTCTGGGCTCATTCAATTTCATTTCGCTTGTCCATGGAACTCTAGCCTGCAGGGCGAACGTGGCGAGTGCGCACGCTGGCAGGCCTGGCGGGAAATAAACAGCCCAAAGCGGGTGGACTGAGAATGTGCAAACCACGTGGCAGGGGCTGGACTGGAGGAGAGGGGGGAGAGAGGCCTGGCAGAGAAGCTACTGTCCACCAAATCCACGCCGCCCTGCCCTAGCCAAGACCGCCGAGCCAGGGACTCTGTGCCACTCTGGTAGCTGGGTGGAGCCATGCCATCAGGGCTCATCAGTGGCATCTGAGCAGAAGTGATCCTTGTCATCTCTCGGCCAAGGTGGTCAAGAAACGGGTGGGCCTTTTCTGCTCTTCCCCCTCCGAGAACTGAATGCCTGGGGTTGGCACAGCTATAACATGCGGGGGCCGCTGTGCCTGAATCAGCCACCCACCAGGAATATTAGCAGTGGACAGTTGAGTGACTAGAGTCTATGGAGTTTCAATGATCAAAACTGGGAGGTTCTGTGTTAGAGTGCACAGCAGGGCCTAACTAATACGGGAAGTGTCTTACATGTACGGGGCGGGGAAGGGGGCGGGGGAGGAGACAGGAAAGGGATAGAATTGGGCAGATGAGGCTGGAAGCCGAAAAGGCTTCCAGTACAAAGCCCAGTGCCGGGATCTCGTTGCAGACATCTCGGCTGTGTATGGACGAAATCAACTGGAGTCTAAATGCTTGGACCCTTTCAGACAGCTCGTGCTTTGGATTAGGAAGCAAACCCAGAGAGGCAAAAGGATGCAGCCAATGTCTTGTAGGGGCCGTGGCTCACAGACAGTCTTCCGGATGAGAGCCTGGTCCGCAGGCTCCCCATCCCCTGGGGCCCACGGATGTCCCCAGGCGTGGCGTGGTGCCTCCTGTACACCCTGCTGATGGGAGGCGATGAACCGGGTGGGTGGCCATGAAGAGAGGGACAGATTTAGAAATGATTTCAGAGATGCTCCCTACTCCTCAGCGGGTGTGCTCCGGGGGCTGGGAACGGGGCGGAGCAGCCGGTCTGACTTTGTTCTCAGATACAGGCCAAGGACGGCCCTCCTCCGCCTTTTCCATCTCTGGTCTTATTTTAGCACCCACAGCCTTGCCGTGGGCTGCAGAGGCCCACCACCCCCAGATGAGTTCATCTGCCCAGGACCCGTGGGAGCTGCCTCAGGGAAGGGCTGGGAGAGGCCCTGTGCGCAGTGGGGTCTCTAGATTCTTCTCCCCTTACAAAGGGCCCAGGCCACTGAGAAATGTGGGCAGTAAACTCAATTTTGATTGAGTGTGTTGTGAACTCAGGAAAGGGTCTCAGAGCATCAGACCTCAGTTCAGTGGTTTGAAATAAATGGGTGGATGGAGGGGGCGGAAATAACTTCCGTTATTCTGGACAGAAGGCAGCACTGAAATTGATTAGTGCAGAGAGAAAGCCAAAGGTGCTGTTTCTTGAAATTGAGGGTCCCCAGTCTGTGGGTGTGGGTGAGCCGGCTTGTGTATTTTCACCATTTTTTTTTCTTAATTAAGGTTAGTTTCCCCCCATCTTTTTCTCCATGGTGACAGGCACTCTCATAATGTGTCATATATTGATATTTTCCCTCTTTTACATTAATAGATAATGCGCATCTTTTCTATCCAGGTCTAGGCATAGCTATAGACCCCTGGTCTTGTGCTGCCCCCTCTGCCTGGTTTCCTGTCCTCTTCACTTGGCTGACTCAGTTTTAACTGAGGCAAATAAGAACCATCTCTTTTGAAAGGGTTCTCTACCCACCTGCACCCTCCACCTCTCGCCGCCCCCTCTCCCACCACAGGGCTTCCTCGCCTCATGCTCCCTTGGCACCCTTTGCTTACTGTAATAATAGAGCCCACACCGTATCGTAATTATAGGTACTGCCCGGAACCTGTTGTTCTAGAATTGGTAATGACGAGTCCCATGATCTGTGGGACCGATTCCCAGATCTGGGGTGTGTGTACCTCTCACCAGAGCTGCCGTATGACGAGGGACCCTTTACAGACTCAAGCGTCTAAGGCAGGGTCGCTCCACTCTTGAATGTGACCCAGGGGACCACCTCTACAGGCTCTCTCGCCACAGGGAGGTGTGAGAACCACGCTCTCTGCTGGCTTTGCTTCGGAATGAGTGTAGGGCAGCCAGAGGCGCTGGTGTGTGGGAAATGTTCCTCCTCCTCCACTACAAGGCGGGAAGCAAGGGACTGAGAAGGCAGACTGGCATTTTCACTTCCCCCTACATCTGGGAAATTTCCGCCCTATGGCATTTGGTGGGAAGGCAATGAAGTTCTGCTGTCCAAGTTGAACATGCCAGCCATTTGCTTCCCAGTCTCTTCTTGCCAGTGACGGGGCTCTGCCAGTGGGCCACACCAGCCCCAGGTTTTAACTTGACCTGCAAAGAGGCAGGCCGGGGGAGGGTAAGGAGTGGGCAAAGGCAGCCATATCCAGATCCTGGGGCACTGAGGCACTGCAGAGGTGACAGCTGTGTGAGGACCGGGAATGAACTCTTCGGAAACAGTGGAAGCGGGTCCTCACTGGCCTTGTGCTCCGCTGTGCTTCTGGCTTTATTCCAGATTGTTCCTGAGACCACCTCTCTGTCCTCCCCCAGTTTTTCTGGAGCCGCCATGTAGCCATTCAGGAACTTGTTTTAAATCAGCCACGGTTGGGTTCTTTTTTGTTTGCCACTAGAAACCACGTCTGAATCAATGTACAATATGCCCAGTGCTCTACTGTATGCTCATTCCTGTCCTGTGCTTTCTTTAGACCTTTACTCACTGCAGGGTATATAGAAGCTGCCCATTTTATGGAAAAAGATCCTGAGAGTCACGCCTGTAATCCTCCAAGCTCACACATGAGGGAGAGGTGGGATTGGGATTTTAAAGCTGCCCTGCCTCAGTGAGGAGTCCACCCTCAGGTTTTCAGTGCACAGCGTGTTGTCCAGGGCAGCACTGGGCTCAGAGGGCACTGATGGGTGGGTGGATGAGTGCATGGATGGGTGTATGGATTGATGGGTGGGTGGATGGATGGGTGTATGGATTAATGGGTGGATGGGTGGATGGGTGAGTGGATAGATGGGTGGATGGGTGGATGGGTGAGTGGATAGATGGATGGATGGATGCATGGTTGGCCAAAAATACATTTTCAAAAAGAAAAAAAAGCTGTAGCCTGTATTCGTATTGTTTTAAAGACACTTATGAGGAATATAAGGAGCAGACCTGCTGATCACCCTGAGGTTCCCAGATGTCTCTGGGGTTAGTTTGCCAACCCCAGAGGAAGGGCTTGGACTTTCCCATTGAGAATGTGAAGGCAGCAGGCCCGCTGCAGGGGAGCCCAGCAGCACGTCAGCAAGCAGATATGACTGCATTTCCCTGACATTCTTCTCGAGCCTCTGTTTGGAAATGTGGAACTCTCTGATGGGTAATGACTAGTTAATGAATTAATCAACCAATGAAAAACGGCATGACATCCAGGCAGACGGAAGTCACGGCAGCGAGATGAGAGCAGCCCAGCGCAGGGAGTGCATGGCGCACGGGTGGGGTGTCGCCTTTCTCACCTGACGTTCTCATAGCGATGGATGTAGATCCGATGGAACTGGTGCTGCAGGTGCTCATCTTCCACGTTGGTCATGTCGTTGATCATCTCCAGGACGACAAAGCGGGGCAGCACGGACAGCACGAGCCGCTCCTGGGACAAAGCAACAAAGAGGGACAGTCTTGTTAGGCTGGCCACCGAGGCTCAGAGGGGCGGGCAAACAGCAGGGAAGCCATGGGCTGAATTCCCTGAGGAATTGTTCATCTCATCCCATTTACGAACATGACAAATATCTAGGGACTACTTGCTGTTTGCCAGGCACTGTGCTGCGTGTTGGGTGTGCAGTGATGAGCCACATGGACGGAGGTCCTCCCCTGTGGAGCTTACATCCCAAAAGGGATACAGACATTAAATATTCCACATTTATCACAGAGTATGAGGGTTGATGACAGCCGATACCTACGAGTTGGGAATGAGCCAGCCGGTGCAGTGCAGGGAGCAGAGAGCTCCAGGAAAAGGAAGCAGCAAGTGCAATGTCCTGAGGCAAAAGAGAGCAGCGGTGTGGCTGGAGGGTGTGATGGAGGGTGTGGTGACAAGCAAGGGGTTGGAGGTGGAGACAGATCTTGCAGGCATGTGTAAGGTCTATAGCATTCAATTCCAACGACCACTGGAAGCCACTAAGTGGTACTAAGCAGAGGACAGACAAACAGGTCTGTATTTTAAAAGACCTCCTGGCTGTGGTTTGGAGAATGAATGGTGGGGAGGGAGCCAAAGGTAGAGGCAGAGAGGCCCTTTGGGGAAGCGCCTGCAGTGGCCCAGGTGAGAGGCGATGTGGGATGATGTCTGTAGGTTTGGTACCCAACTGAGATGGCAGGAGAGAAAGACGGCATCCCATGGTGGTGGCGGGTGCGGAGTTTGGTTGGAGGAGGGACCTATGAGAGAAGCCGGGTGAGGAGGCACCAACTCTTTATCCAGAGGAGAGGAAATGAGACACACACAGCCTGAAAGTGGGGGCCTAAAGCTCTTCTGCAGTAATATATGCTTCACTGTGATCAACATGGTAGATAAACATCAAAGCAAAATAACTGCTTAACTGCAACATGGGCTAAATCCTACAAAGGCTTTGTGTTATGAAACCAGGCAAGAATCTGGCTTATTTGCTATATCGTTCGCTCTCATGTGGAACTGGGTCTAAGACAGGTGTGTTCTAATTGCTATAGTTTCTCCCGTCTTCACAGTGACTTAGGATTGTAAGCATTTCCCGCATCCATTCTTTCATCCGTTCCTCACAAAACCCTGGCAATAAGCAGGCACGAGCAATCTTCATGTAATGGACAGACTGAGGCTGGGAGAGGTCGCATCACGGGCACAGCCTGACCAGTTACCCAGCGGCAGTGCCAGGGCGCAATTCTTTCCCCGGGATTCCTTGCCAGGGTTCTGGGTGGGATGGGAAAAGCCTGGGTTTTGAGTCTGATGGGAGTTTGGATTCTGCCTCTGACCCTTAACAGTAACGTGGCCTCGGGTGAGCCACGCCCCCTCTGTGCCTTAGGTCCATAATTCAGCAACTGGCCATGACATCATCCACTTCACAGGGCTGCTTTGTGAAGTCAATGAAATAAAATACAGGGGTGGGCAAATGTAGGTTTACAGTTGTCATACAAATAAATAGTACAGTGATTAATAAGTAATAATTCCGCATACTTGCCCTAACTGGTTTGGCTCAGTGGATAGAGCGTTGGCCTGTGGACTCAAGGGTCCCAGGTTCGATTCCGGTCAAGGGCATGTACCTTGGTTGCGGGCACATCCCCAGTAGAGAGTGTGCAGGAGGCAGCTGATCGATGTTTCTCTCTCATCGATGTTTCTAACTCTCTATCCCTCTCCCTTCCTCTCTGTAAAATATCAATAAAATATATTTTAAAAAATAATTCCGCATACTCACAACTGTAAATCTACTTTTGCCACCCCTTATGTAAGGGCCTGGCGTTAATTCCCTTCCTCCTCTCTGCACTCTCGGACCGGGCTCCCATGCAAAGAGCTTCATTCGTGAAGTGCCCACTGCGCTTCCCGGGCTGAGGCTTTTACCTCTCCCGGAAGCTGTCTCATCGTGGGACCGAGAGCCACGCTTCTTGTCCATTTCATGCTATCAGTCAACTCGCCAGGTGCCGGTGGCCCTGTTCACCCAGTCACTGCAGGTACTGTCACAGCTCGGAGGGGCACTCAGTGCCCGGAAACAGCAGGTGCTAACTAAATGCTTCCTAAACAAACACCTGGACACATGGAAGGCGGAGATGGTGTCCAGCTCAGGGGTGCACCCCCTCCAGGGGCCAGCAGTGTCCCTGGGACAGGGTAACTATTTGTGAAACACATTCTTTAAGTGGCGATGCCCTTTCAGTCCTCGAGCAGGACACGGATGCTTTGAAGGGAGACTTTTACAGCAAAACTCTCCAGCTCCAGGCTTGCCCGCCTCCAGGCAGCCTTGCTACTACCCGGCAACAGCCCCACTCCCTCCCTCCTCGTGCAGAGCATGTTCTGGAAGACGAACTTGGCCTGGAGTCTGCTTAGAAAAGCCCGGTTGCGACACTTTTGTTTCCCTCTGATTTGTTGACTGCTGGAGACACATCACTCACATCCCCTGAACACACCATTTAAAGAAAATGGGAAAGTTGGCCCTCTGTACGGTTCCCACTCCTGCTGAGCCGTAATAAATGGTTCGCCAGCTTCAGCGACCAGAAGTATCAGAAGCTCTCTTGGAGCCAGGCTGGGGCCCAGGGTGGCCTTTGAGCTCCGTTCTGCACATCTTTTACTCCCTGTTTTGTGTGTTTCCCCCCCTCATTTGCATGAAAAGGGGCCTGGGTTGATTCAAAGTGCATGGCGGCTCCTGTCTGGATTTACACCTCATCTCACGTGACGTGCTCCATTCATGCCCCAGAATGGCTTCATGGGATCAGTTGCTAGAGTCCCCCCTGGAGGAGGCAAGGTGGGAACACAGAGGCCCAGCATGGGGTAGGGGTAGCCCCCGGCGGACAGAGTCTGGGCGCGCGCGCGAATCAGGACCTCGGCATGGCGTCAGGAAGAACAGGCCACTCCCAGGCTCTTGCAGCCTGAGAGGCTCTGACTCACCTCCCTCTGCAGTGAAGGCCCAGGCACGGGGTGAGAGTCTCACTCTGGTCGGTCGTAGACAATAGTTTGTTTTAATTGACCACTCACTCTGTAGACGCCAAGTGCTCTGCATCCAGTATCTAATCAAAACCTTACGTGCCCGGCCGGCGTGGTTCAGTGGTTGAGTGTGGGCCCACGAACAAGGAGGCCACGGTTCAATTCCCGGTCAGGGCACATGTCTGGGTTGCAGACTTGATCCCCAGTGTGGGGTGTGCAGGAGGCAGCCGATCAATGATTCTCTCTCATCATTCATGTTTCTCTCTCTCTCTCTCCCTCTCCCTTCCTCTCTGGAAACAATACAAATATATTAAAAAAAAAAAAGAAAAAACACAGGTTTAGTAAGGAACGGGTGGCTGTATTATGCGGATTCCTTTGATGACAATGAGATGTATATCCAACTCAACATAGCTGAGGAAAAATCAGGTTTATCATAGGTATACTTCCTGACTCTGTGACTGACCCCTCTGTATCACAATTTCCCTATCAGTAAATTGGACATGATAATAGCATTGCGTGGCTGGCATGGCTCAGTGATTGAGCATCGGCCTATGAACCAGGAGGTCACGGTTCGATTCACAGTCAGGTCACATGCCTAGGTGCCAGGCTCAATCCCCAGTGTGTGGCATGCAGGAGGCAGCCAATCAATGATTCTCTCTCACCATTGATGTTTCTCTCTCTCTCTCCCTCTTCCTTCCTCTCTGAACTCAATAAAAAAAAACAACCCAAAACAACAAAAACTAATAGCATCTACTTCATAAAGTTGGTGTAGAGTTAATATTTGTGTTAACTGAAATCACAGCCCGAATGTTTGATGAATTTACTGGCAAGCATGCTCTATTTTAAGCCTGGTTTTAGAGCTCTAATTGTATATTGGTGCTGCGGAGAAAATCATTTAGAGTAGGGACATTACTCAGGATCTATAGGGAGAATGAACAGGCAGAATATGTAAAAGGCAATTGGGCTACACAGTAAAAAACCTCCAGTCACATGATTAATAATAAAACATTTAAAGATGTGTCATCAAAATCCTGACCCTGGCTTTTGAGTTTATATCTTAAAGGCTTTTATGGCATTTTCACCCAGAACTGTTACTGTTTCTGAAAGCAAAGTGTGAACTCAGCCGAGCGGAAGTTGTGGTTTAATCAGCTCCTAAAGGCATGTTCTCTCCAGGCTGATTCAGCAGGGAGGTTGAAAGTCTGGGTGAACGTCCATGTCCCCCTGGTGGTGGTCTAGGGTCCCAGGAACTGTTGTTCTGCTCCGAAATGCAAAGACTGAAGGGCTTTGGAGTCAGGCGAGCTTGAGTGGGATCCTACCTGAGCTTAACAGCTGATGTGTTCTGTGCCCACGACCTTTGAGCCTCAGTTTCTTCATCTACAAAATGGGAACAATAATAACCTTCCTCCCAGGACTGTTTTTCACACTAAAGGACAAAACCCCTTTTATAGATCCTGGTACACAATAGGTGCTTATTAAATAGCAGAGGTCATCAGATGTGTTTTAATTCACCCAGGGGCTAGCTCACAGGCCACGGCCTGCAGGACGCTGGAGTCTGTATACTCTACATTGACATGACATGGAGTGTAATTTAAAGGATGACACACAAAATTCAAGGTTTCAGGGACTTTTTCCTTCTTTTTATCTTTTTCAAGGAGTTAACATTTTCTCGGGTCTCTTCATTTACTAAGTGCCCAGATATCTCCAATTTGAAGTCTAGAGACTAAGCAGCCTCCGGTGTCCAGTGGCACGATTGGTGGCCGTTCAGAAGATGCCCAGGGTCTATATTTTGCGGGTGGACCTGGAAGGTGGCACAGCTCTGGCACGAACAGCCATGGCTGCGGGCGTTTCCTGGTCTCTGCCCCTCACAGCCAATGAGAAGCTGGTCCGTAGAGTCCACAAGAGGCACACTGATGCCCCAAGAGAGGATCTGCCCCACCTCCAAGGCCAACGGACTAGACGAGTCCTGTTGTCTCCTGATGGCAGGGGTGAGGGGGTCA